CTGTCAAAATGGCATCTTTACGGCTAAACCTCGGAACAAAAACAAACATTTCGATTGCTGTGAAGAAACACATCAAAATAATTCTGAACGCCGAAGTGAGCTTTCCGCCATATTGGATAGGGTTTACAAAATCAAGTTTCGCTAATGCCTGTCATATGACGCTTATTACATCACGTATATTTCATATTCAGTTGTAACAAATGCATCGCTGAATTCCTCATGCATTTTAAAATCAACTTACAAATGGTTTTTGTAACTAAAACTATGTGTCCAGAAAAAAACGAAACATATTGGGTGTGAAAACACAGCGCTTGCTAGAAAAGTAAACAAAGCGAAATCAGATTTTATACTGGGCAGCATTTTCTCAAGTTTTAGGACATACGTTTCTCTATTCGTAGCATGCATTAGGTCAATAATTTTAGAATATACACGGAAAGAGTATCGTAGCAAGAATTAGAAAATTAAAAACAGATACAATACAAAAATTTGATATATTCATGTGCAGCGATACGCCATGCCAGAAGCTAAACCATGGAGAACGACATAGGCAATTATCGGCATTTCTGACTTTTTCAATGAATACAATAAAAACAAATAACCATACGCAGATAGTCAGAATGTTTTCGATTACTTTATGGGCAAAGTTTCCCACGCAAAATCGTGGGCACATATATGATCCACAAAGCCGCCATTTTATGAGAAATCGGTCATCGGTAGTGATGTCATACGTCAACATCGTTGGCAATTTCTTTGAGGTGAAGGTCGGTTGAATAAGAATAAATACACTGTCCTGCGCATTACACTTTCACATGTTTCAGTATTATGTATACTTTGCGTATCGTTCACATATGGTTTCATGAAACTAATTTCACTATCAACATTTAGTATTTTAAACCTAAGTAAAACTGACATAATAAATAAAAATTATTTATTTATTTCATGAAATGTATATATGCACACGTTTTTAAAGGATATGTCTTGTGCATTGAATTTGTTTATGTTGTGGCATAGAAAAAAACAATGGCGTATAATCATTTGCCAGGTGCGCGTTTGTCACAAATACTTTGAGTATAATTGTTTTCGATAATTCCGTGAACAAAGGGGGCGGTTGGGTAGCCTAATGGTTAAAGCGTTGGCTCGTCACGCCGAACACCCGGGTTCGAATCCCCACCTGGGCACAATGTGTGAAGCCCATTTCTGGTGTCCCCCGCCGTGATGTTGCTGGAATATTGCTAAAAGCGGCGTAAAACCAAACTCAGTCAGTCAGTCCGTGAACAAAGCATCACGAACATGTAATGTCCGTATTTACAGAAATTCTCTCCAAGTGATCTGATTTACGATGACTTATAGTCCATGGGCTGATATAGGTGACCCACCCCCCACCCACCCCCCGGGGGAATTTTGAAGACTATATTTTTTTTTAAAGCTTATCATATGCACATTAGTCCTTTGCTTTTTTTGTCTGTCTTTAAATCCTTTGAACTTTCTGCTCAACAAAGAGGAGGGTTACCATCCCGGACCTCCTCAGCACAGATCCCCAACACCTCTTACTCATCTCCTTTACATGGATGACATCGAGCTCCTTGCCAAAGGAGATTCCAATTTGAAAGAGCAGGTTCTCCTTGTCGAGTCCTTTTCTAATGATATTGGCATGACATTTGGACTCGACAAATGTAATACTCTTCATTTGAAACGTGGCAAGGTTACTAATGATGGATCGGTCAAGTTACAAGGGGGAGAAGTTATTGAGCATCTTGTGGAAGATCAGGCCTACACCTATCTTGGAATGCAAGTTCGAGACAAGCTCCAGAATGCTCAGATGCAAGACAAACTTCGGGCCGAGTACAAATCTGTTTAAAGAAAATCTGGAGCTCAGAGCTAAATGTTCGAAACAAGGTCAAAGCCACCAATACTTTTGCTGTGCCAGTCCTTTCCTATTCCTTAGGAGTAGTTGATTGGACAAAACAAGACATCCAGAAGTTAAAACCCAAAGGAGGACAGACTACGACAAGCTATGATGGTGTAGAGATGAGACTCCTTTCACCTTGCAGAGACTCCTACACATGCACATACAGTGTGCAAATCACCAGGCCTTGATCTGGGTCAATGCTGACAAGAATCACCCCAATGGGTGGCTGAAAGAGGAAGTAAATGATCTGAAATGTCAATGGACCTTAGACAACATCCTTCCACAAGAGTTGACTGACATAATATCCAGCAAGAACTTAGATTTAAGTAGAATTGAGGATTCAGACAAAGTTGAGATTGAGTCTTCTGGACACAATCTATGATGATTCGGCATAAAGTTACATAAATATAAGTAATGGTAACTCAATGTTATAGAAAGCCAAAGTGAGATTAAACCACCATGCTTTAAGTATAGCTGTAACCTATATCAGCCCATGGACTAATAGTATTAAGCATAGCGGGGTGATGCCCCCTTATCTTTATAAGCGTATGACCTTTTTGTAGCCATTTGACGTCATAGGGGAAAATCCATTTTCATCACATATTGCGAGTAATTTTTAAGATTGAGTGTATAACGTTAAACATAGGTACACAAACTAATTTAATACATACCTATGTTGTTCAGGTATCAGGCATAATTTTGTTCGCTCACACTAGTAGCACAGTACTTTTATCGGTGCACGATAAAAAGCAGAGAAAGCATATGCTTTTCTCAAAGATTAAGCCATGCATGTCTAAGTACCAACTCTAGCACAGTGAAACTGCGAATGGCTCATTAGATCAGTTATGGTTCCTTAGACGATACAATCCTACTTGGATAACTGTGGCAATTCTAGAGCTAATACATGCACAAAAGCTTCGTCACTACCTCTTCGTGTCGAGATTTAGCAGTGTCTTCTTTTCAAACTGAGTTTATACCATGAGATAGGACATTTAATACTCTACATTTCTGTGTAATTTCATAGCTGTAGGTAGATCCAGTGCTGCGCAAACGAAATTCTGGCGCAATCTTCACTTTGCCAGGAAGTTTAATGACGCTAATGATACCCCCATGGCCTTCATTAAGTTAATGACGCGCTAATGACAACACGACGTCATTAAAACCTTAGTACAACAGAATTTAATGACACATTAGTTAATGAACGTTTAATGGCACGTTAATGCTTCATTAAAGTTTGGTACAACCGGGTCCAGCTAAAGGGCTCGTTCTTCAAGAAGTATTTAGGTTTAGGAAAATTTGTGTGCAAAAGCTGTGTTAGGTGAGTTGGGCAGATATCAAATGGCTGTTAATTATGTTAGTCGTTGTATCAGGTACTGGTGTAGACTCGTGAGAATGAGTAGCCATAGGTATCCTCGAGCTTGTTATGAAATGCTTAAAGTCCTTGACGAAAATGGAAATGTTAACTGAGTTTCTCATGTTCGTTCACTATTGTTTAAATTTGGATTTTCTTTTGTGTGGATTACACAAGACTTTGGCGACGTAGATAGAGAATACTACACGAGGTCTCATTACATACGAATTATACGAAACGAGTGTCCTTCCTATGGTATCTGACCAAGCGAAAGCGAGGTCAGATACCATAGGAAGGTCACGAGTTTCGTATAATTCGTATGTAATGAGACCGAGTGTGGTATTTTATTTATTACCCACGTCTTAAATGCATTAAACTGACAAAATAGCGTATTTTTTGTTTCGAACCGAAACCGGTTTCATAAAGAGGTTGCGGAAGAGTTTGTACTGTAGTACAATATTTGCATGACGTCACACTGTAATGACGTCACTGCCTTGGTAACCGACGTCACGATGCACGTCAGTTATCATCGCCTCGTACAGCCTCCTACAGTAAACTACTCCGTAGCACCCCGTTTCTTGGTTTGCAGTTGCTTCTTTCGGCTAACATCACTGGTGGAAACATTGCGTTTATGTTTTTCGACAGATATAATGTCTCAGTTCGACTCACAATTAAACAGCGACACGGCAACGTTCGCAATGTTTACATTCCCACAATGCATTTAAGTTGTAGAATGAATGAATTCACGTGTTTGTTAAGAATGAAAAAATAGTTACGTCAGAATGTGACCTAATTGAGAGGTCATCGGTTATCCAATCAAATCGTTGGAATCTCAGGTCAAGTCGTTACGACACAGGTCAACGCGATACGACACTCGTGTGACGTACGAGATTAGTATGCAACTACCCATACGTTGACCACGTGGGTAATAAATGTATTTATGACAACGTTTAAGCAACGCTGCAAGGGTATCTGTTTCCAAACTTGGAGCAGTGATACAAGTCAGTTTTGGAAACAGAAGTGTATATAACTGCGTTGTACGCTAATAGAGACTTGAGGCGTATTTTATGTAAATTTTGTTGCATATCGCTCAAATTGGGTGTCCAACAGTTGCGTATCAATATAGACAATATCGATAATACTATATAGCAATATATGTATCAAGTGTCATTTAGATATCGTAGAAGACGAATACCACTTTCTATTAGTATGTCCTTATTACCATACAAGTCGGATGCAGTTTATACCTGGATATTATCATATACATACATCTGTCTTTAAGTTTAAGCAGTTGTTATGCACCAAAAATGTGAATGTTATTAAAAGTCTAGCAAACTATCTGAAGATAAATCTACCTGTTTGACTGCTATATATTGATGTACTATATTTATGTACATGTATTGGATGCGCACAAACTTTGTACTCTGGGCCATGAGGCCATTATGCGAACTCTACTCTGGGCCATGAGGCCATTATGCTCTCTCTCTCTCTCTCTCTCTCTCTCTCTCTCTCTCTCTCTCTCTCTCTCTCTCTCAAAATATCTCTTTCTCTCTCTCAAAATCTCTCTCTCTCTCAAAATCTCTCTCTCAAAATCTCTCAAAATCTATCTCTCTCAAAATCTCCCTCAAAATCTCCCTCAAAATCTCTCCCAAAATCTCTCCCAAAAGACTTTCCTTTGCCCGGAGGCATATTTTCATAAGACGCTAACCCACTGATACACCGGTTGATATTTAGGCCATCTTTTATCAGGTCAGTGTTATCTGCTGTGTCATGCTGTAATTCTGCTGGTGAGTACACACGCTGTCACGATAGCGGCAGGTTCATTGTCGCGTCGTGCGTAGACAGTCGACTGTCCATTGACATTTGACAAAGGACAAACGCAGAAACTGAATACTAAGGGCTTTCTGAACTAAGGGCTTTCTGAGCCAAGATGAAAAGTGAGAACTGTGTCAATTTCGTACAGAGGGTTACGAAGGACGTGATCTAGACTGTCAGTTGTCCGACTTCTATTTAGTGGAAGTCGTGGTGGTTGAGTGGGTTAGACCGTCGACTTTGTGTGCTGGCGATTAGCCAGATGACTCTAAGAGTGTGGGTTCGAATCCCGGATGGGGCTCAACCCTAAATGTACTGGAATCTGTACTTTTTACTGAGAAATAGACATGAAAGGTGTCAATGAAAGGGAATTCTCACAACTTAACTTACTTCCCGTGGAGAATGGGATGACCGCTTCGATTGTCTATGGAGTCATTCGTGTCTTGTCAGTCTCTTAACGTAAGGGTGTCATGCAGATATCGTCAAATTTAATTGTTAATTGTTTTATCAGGGTTTAATGACTTATCAAGGTAGATATAAATTACGTCAGCATTAAATATTGGGTTACTCTGTTACAGTGTTTGCTATCGTGCGTGTGTGATGTGATGTGATGTGTGCGTGCGTGCGTGCGTGCGTGCGTGCGTGCGTGCATGCACGCGTGTGTGTTATATAGCACAGATTTTTCTCTCCCCATGTGACTGGTGGCGTCAGTTTTCGTGGATGGTTTGGGTGCGAGCTTGTAGTCGCCACTAACCCGTGAAGATCTGGGTTAGAATTGGCCTTCAGTAACCCATGCTTGTCGTAAGAGGCGGGTGGTCGGGCTCGCTGACTTGACTGACACGTGCATGTTTCAGTTGAGTATGACCACAGTGAAGATCCCGGATGGAAATGGAAACACCCTCACACTGCTGGAAGTGGATGGCCACTATTACCCAAACTCATCTGCTAACGTCATCAGGGGGTATACGTGACGTCATGATACGAGATGATGACGTTCTGATATGCGCATACCCTAAATGTGGTAAGTATGACAGAATGGAAACATTATCACTTTAAATCACTCTAATTTGATTGTCTAAGATTTTGTAATGCTAGGCAGAAACTACGTTTTGTGTGTATGTACTTCACCAAGTAGAGTGAGTGAGTTGGCTTTTACTCCGCCTTTAGCAATATTCCAGCAATATCACGGCGGGGGGACACTAGATATGGGCTTCACACATTGTACCCATGTGGGGAATCGAACCCGGTTGTTCAGCGTGACGAGCGAACGCTTTAACCACTAGGCTGCCCCACCGCCCCTCAAAAGTAGAGACTGCCAGCGTATTTCCTGGACATGTCTATACTATCCTCGTGCTTGGGCTTTTCGGACACGTGGGAGAACACCCGTTGTTGTATCAATTATCGCATGAATTAATTGTAAAACATGTTAATAATTTATACAAAATAACTCTATTTAAAACACAAGTCATCATTCAAGACTTCACAATGTCGATGTGAAGCAACAACTCTTGTTACAGCACGAGTGAGCACTGCCGTCAGAAAATATGACATCCGAAAACCTATGATCATACTTGAACTGACTAATAAGAACTGACCGTCAAAAGAAACTTAAACATGGTTTTAAATCAATCTAGCTTAATCTGTAAAAGATGCATGGTATTAAGTTAATTGCAAAGATCAAAGTTTCAAAGAAATAAACATCAATAATGACGGTCATACGGCAACCAATATTGGCATGATATTTCCCCGATATTAGCAAGGAAGTTTCTTTTGTCCTTCAGTTTATCCCGAGTTTTGCTGTCATTAACAGGCACTCACTGGTTGTGGGAAATAATCCGCTTGCTGTTGGAGGGGAATACTGACGGCAAAATACGGGAGAAGGATGAGCTACATTTAGAGTTTGTAGCCAATGACGTCATGAAGAAATTTCCATCTCCGCGAATTTTGAACACTCACGTCCAGTTCCATCAGTTGCCACAGGCAGTGCTCGACAAGAAATGCAAAATCATCTTCCTTGCCAGGAACCCTAAAGATGTGGCAGTGTCGTTCTACCATCATCATAAGAATCTGCCCATGTACTATCATTATTATGGAACTTGGGAGAATTATCTCCCCTTGTTTCTGGAAGGCAAAGGTAACTAACGGTCATGTTGTTTATTTTGTGAGCTGGCTGAAGCTCGTTGACATTTTACATATTTTAAGCGGACAAGGTGTAAATATTGTCTATTGATGCTAAATTGTAGCCATGAGAGTGCTACAAAACGGTCGTACTGTGAGTCGCATTATATAGTCTTTGTAGGCTTGGCAGTTAAGATTCCACATTCGTGTTGAGTGAGTGAGTGAGTTTAGTTTTACGCCGCACTAAGCAATATTTCAGCTATATGGCGGCGGTCTGTAAATAATCGAGTCTGGAGCAGACAGTCCAGTGATCAAAGGCATGAGCACCGATCTACTCAGTTGGGAACCGATGACATGTGTCAACCAAGCCAGCGAGCCTGACCACCCGATCCCGTTAGTCGCCTCCTACGACAAGCATGGGTTACTGAAGATCAAATCTAACCCGGATCTTCAAGGGTCTGTTAACATAAGATAATCAACTGAATGAGGTATTGGTCATTGGTTCGAATCCAAATCATCACCGTTAAAATAACCATAGGCTTTCCATCTTAAATGTCACAGAGGCATCCAGCCTCTATCTGGAGAGCGTATTGTCGGTGGTTCGATCTTTACGCAGTGTCATACCACAGATGTTACTTGATGTTACCGTGCCTGGCGCTCGGTCTTTATAGGGGATAAAACAGGGACTTGCCGGCCTGGACTCCGTATATTACTATGATATAGTAACTGAACACGCTGGCTTTGCCTGTCGTTTCTATATAGCTGAAAATATAGCTGATTGCGTGCATTCCCGCCTTCTAAAACATTGTCCTTCACCTTGCAGTTGACTTTGGCTCTTGGTTCGCGTACATGAAGAACTGGGAGAAAGAGATGAAGAACCATCCAGAGTTGCCGTTCTTGACTGTCATGTTCGAGGATTTAAAAGAGGTATTATAGTCCGTTTGGCTCAAAATCGGACCGAAGAATTGCAATCTAACTCGAAAACTACTAAACATATAGTACTGAATGAAACACTGATCATAATCAAAACATCAGACCAACTCTGTGATTTTTGTGCAGAATTTATGTCCTAAAAATAAAAAAGTTGTTTAACAAACTATCATTAAAATAATGTTGACACAGTTCACTATTTGTTACGAGGGAGAGGTACAAAGAGAGGAACAGCCAGGTGTGCGAGAAAGGCTGGAGATGGCACATCACAGGTATATATTCACTTCTACCTTAATAACAATGTAAGGATCTACATCGAAACGTCGCTCTACGCAATGAATAAGAAGTTGTCATCTATAAAGTTGTATGTTTCATTTTTGACTCACCAACTTCCATAATGCCGATCACACAATTAACATCACAGGTTAATGAATCAATGATTTTGTCTGCACTTGTGCTGGCTGTTCCTCTCTTTGCAGTCCTCCCTCGTTACAAATAGTGAACTTTGCCACATTTTTATGATGGTTTGTTAAACAACATTTTTTATTTTTAGGACATAAATTCTGCATAAAGTTAGATTGCAATTCATCGGTCCGATTTTGAGCCAAACGGACTATAATGATCTTCCTTGTCACTTCGTCTTCGATCAGACTAGATTCTAAGTGGTTCAGTTCATTTGTGTCCAATGATCATGTTTTCGTATGAGTGAGACATCGCATACTTGTATTTCTTATAAAAGACCAGAAGCCCCTGTACTATTGTGACTAAATCTTAGAGAAGTGCTGATAAACCCATATCAATTAGTTGTGGTACAAGGCCTTCGCGAATAGGTGGACATACCCTGCCCCACTGTTACCCCCTGTCTCAAGGTGCAAGGTGCAAGGTGAACTGTTCACCTGTAGAAACACGGCAACATTTGGTAGAAGTCAAAACAGGGAGTTGCTTTAGACATCATTCCTGTCCTAATATGCGTTGATATGAAATTTAATCATCATCTGTCACAAACATGTGTGAGGGCAATTCAACTTCTCTCATTAGAACGGGTGGGTCAATATAGTACAAGTGAAAATAGGATTTTCATTGGACATTGTCAGAACCATTAACCTTGTACACTTGCAGCACTCCTTGTCTGGAATCAGGAAGATGGCGGACTTTCTTGGGGTAAAAAGATCAGAGGAGTTTTATCAGACAGTGTCAGAAAGGACAAGCTTCAGTCAAATGCAGACAACCAAGGGGAGACTACTCAAGGAACATGGAGGTACATCAATAGTGTACAGGAAAGGTGAGTTGACATATCATAATCGACTCTCAAAACCATTTAATATTTTAAGCTGCACTAAGCCTTACGGTGACGGTCTATAAATACCACGTATGACCCAGACAATCCAGGATTGAAATGACGAGCATTGATGTGCGCAAATGAGATACAACGACCTTTTAAGAGCCGGGTCACCAAGCCTGACCACCATTCCATTTAGTAGCAGAGGTTTCATTTACTTTTTTTGTAATCTTCCCTTTTTTGTATTTCTTTGGTCAAAATATGTGTGCTTCTAAACATTAACAAACAGTTTCCTCAAACCAAAGAGTCATAGCTTGCTATGAACCTACATTCTTATCTAGAATCCCCTGCGGTTACCTTTGACCGGATGCTTGTGCTGATAAACTAACGATGATCTTAGAAAATACAAGAAGTTCCTACGCATGTTGTATGTTCGTAAAATATGCTGTGAAAACAAAACACTATGAGTTCCATTTAAAGAAATCATTGTATGTTTGGAATCAAAAATACGACTCAAAAAATACTGTCTCATAACAAAATACAGTTGAACTGGACATTAAGGGTGAATGAACTGGCGAGTTTTGTGGTACGTCGCCTCTTAGCAATGCTTCAGTGATATCAAGACAGTGGACAGTTTGAAGATACTGCTTACATCTTTTATTTCTGTGGAATAGGAACCGTGTCTTCACAGATGACGTGGTTACGTTTTTAAACCACGAGATTAGGTCCCTCTGCCCCCTGCACGCCTGTGGATGAAGTCCTGGTTCTGTTCAGTCCTGTGACATGTGTTCCTGTTTCTACCCTTTCCAGACTGGGGGGCGTATGGGTAGCCTAGTGGTTAAAGCCGCTCTACAATCACCGGCTATCAAGGTAACACTCACCCCGCCATTGGTACAATGTGAAGTCCATTTCTGGTGTCCCCCGCCATGATATTTCTGGAATATTGTTAAAAGCGGCGTGAAGGGAGCGCAACTCACTCACTACTTTCGTACTTGTATTGTTATACCTGTTCTGTATCATTTATACAGGGGAAGCGGGCGACTGGAAGAATCACTTCACAGTGGGACAGAGTGAGGTGTTTGACCAGCTGTACAGGAACAGATGGACGGATGCAGCTTCAGATTCAGATATTCAATAAATGACTCCGCCTCTTTAGTCGCTTCTAGTCGATTTGTGTTCATTGAAAACTAATGAAGAATGATTTTTATGATAATATAATTCAATCTATACTCGATCTACTGATAGTCAGTACACTGTTGATAAAGGTAAAATATCCTCGGCAAGTCTCGATATTTGTAACTTTATCAACCGTGCTTCGATATAATTGATATCAGTAGACACTTGAAGTGAGATTCTCTATTTGTTGGCCCGTAGAAGATCCGAGCCAGAAGGGTGCTCTTCAGCAACCCATTCTCTGTCATAGGTGACATTCAGGATCGGGTGGTCAGGCTCGCTGACTTGGTTCACCCTGCAGTCACCGTGATCCAATAACGTAAATCGATGCTCATGCTATTGACCACTGTATTGTGGGTCGAGACTGCAGTCGCGATCTGAAATACTGGAATGGGTGCGTCGTTAAACTCCAAAACAAACCAAAACATGTTGGTATTAGACAACTTGGACTGGGCCTCTTCGTGTATCCAAGTCCCGTGATACCAGCTATAAACAAGCGTTTGTTGGGCTTTTTCACGCTTGTCATCAAGATCACAGGACAGTCTTTACATAGTCGCATTCCTGGCCGACACACGATTGATGTCAACAGTGATCAACGATCATCGAGGGTGATAACCCATTGCACTCTAAGCCTGACTGTCAGATTCACCAATGTGCCTCTTAATGACAGGTTATGACATGCGGCATTGTGGCACAGATGGACTGTATAGTGACAAAATACTTGGAAACGATTAATGTGCCAACCAAAGATAACAGTGGTGATAATCTGTGACCTCTCCAAACCATAGATCAATTTCTTAGGACATTTCTGGCCCTGGTTTTACATACTTAAAACGATTGGTGAAAAGCTGTGGTCAGCCGCTTGTGGCCATGGATCATATCACTTTCTGGCCCACATGCAGCGTTAAGCTGCTCTATAGGGGAAAGAGCGGCTTATGGTCACATAGAAAAGTGGGCAATAAAGCAGAATGACAATACATGGTAAAAAACACACTAAATACACCACGCTTATTGTAAGCAGGAAAAAAAGCTGCTAATAATAACAATAGCGACACAGCTGATTATCTACATGGTGATAATTTGTAAAACATGTTAAAAAATCACAGACCCTGAGATCATCTTGAGGAATCAGACATCATGTTAACTTATATTTTTCACTAATTACAAAACATAAAATAACTACTTTATGGGGTTTTTGCAAAATATCTTCCTTTTTTGTTTGATGATGATCATCAAGAGACACAAGAAAAAGCAACTTATGTCTCATCTTGGGTTAAACCTGCCAAATGGAATACATTGTTGAAGAAAAAATACTATAATTTCTACAGATCTTTTTCAAATTTTGGCACTAAGTACCGTATGAGCTACACTGTTCACCCTCTTGACTCTACATTGTCTCTGTAGTAATACCATCCCTATGATTGACAAGGTTAGAAGAACACAAGATCATCAACACCCTGAGTTCATGTGCAATCAGACATTAACAACTTGCATTTACTACACCAATTATAAACAACAAAAGTTCATTTGTTTTCTAAAAACACACTTCCCTTACATTTCAAATTTCCTGAACATCGCCCAGAGACACAAGAAAAAGAAGAACTTGTTTGACATGTTGGGTTTTAATCCTGACACCAAGGAAGTAATCATAAATCAAAACAGAGAGTACATTGCTGAAAACAACGCATATAGAATTTCTACAGATATATATTAAATTTTGGCACTAAAGTACTTGTGTAGGCCTTGCACAGTTAATGCTCTTCAAGTAGGTAGTACCCCTCATAACAACAAACTGGTTATTAACGGTGTTTCAAGACAGGGATGGAAATAACCATTGCGGCGACCGAGTCCATTTTTTTTTTTTTTCTGTCGGGCAAAAATTTGTATATCACACACTGTACCCGGTGTCCAGTTGACTTTTCAATGGTAATTATGTTGTTTATTTAAAAATCAGCAAGAAAACGGTTGGTATAGTGGAAAACTTATCAGGGCAAGTGACTTTACATGTGCCACTGCACCGGAGTACACTATCAATTTTAAAGTTATTTCCACCCCTACAAGAATACAATTTGTTTAGATATTTCTTGGGACGGACCATATGTCATTGACATCAGAGTATGTTAGATCCTATATGTACCTAAACGCCTGGGTAAACGTAAAGACTGAGGCATGCCTTGGCCTGCGTTTGTATTGTGGTAACAAACTGGTTATTTTTCAAAGATGTTTCAGGAATATTACACGTTAGATATTTGTGTATGTGCATGTACCAATAACAATCATAGTATGTTTAGATCCTAAGCTATAAGATAGACTTCTGGGCAAACATATAAATCCGAGTATGCGCTTTGCTTGAGTATGTATGGTAGACTTTGATTGGGTAGGAAAATGTAATCCTGATGAATAAGGGAACATGAAACAAGTGTTCCTTTATTCCTTCCAAATATCACCCACAGTGCAATACAAGCTTAGGAAGAAACCTGGAAAAAAAATAAAGGAACACTTTGTACTTTCATGCTCCCCTAATTGTTTCCATGAGTATATCAATATCAGTAAATGAATGTTGTTTATGGCGCATCAGCCTGCAAACATTCCAGCCTGTTAACTCGAAAATTCCGATTAGTACCAGCATGAATCTAGATCCACTGCACTCCAGGGATGAAACGGTATACCCTTTGTTATTAGGTAGAACAGCGGCATTTGCCCTTCGGGTTCATAAATTACAATGCAATCCAACCCATTCGATACTTTTTGTTTTTCGCATAGTTTTGTTCATTCAAAATAACAAAGATGGCCATTTTTTCCAGCCGTTATTAAAACAACGTAAGGGGTTTTAATTTCGGTCGCCGCACACATCACCACCGAAACTAAATGGACCAAACCAGCGCCCTTGCACGCAATATTTACCATACCTTGGCGGTACATAACCTCGCTTCAACCCTACACCGCACTAGTGAAGTTGTAATTTAACTACCATTTACACAACACAAATCATTAATAACCCTCCTTCCTCTTACAACAATCATATGGTTTATATGTGAATCAGAGCACACTTTACACCAAACGTCGCAGTTATCACATCTGTTTGGAGAACTGTTTGAAAACGCAGAACATTCCGTGAAGTGCCAGGTAAGTTTAAATACAACATTCAAAACAATGCATTTCATGATTTCACGCTGGAACCACGACGCTTGATAAACTTACACCAGGGTTCCATACCAGCCGGAACAGATCGTTAGAACCTCTGGACTTTAGCAGCCCGTTTCACGACCTTGGTTCCAAAATATGTCATAGAATCTTGATCATGGTGCCTCGATATTTAGACGGCTCCATCGCGTATATCGGTAATATAATCCCGCCATAGCTGGATAGGGCTGCATCTCTGTACCTCTTTATCGGAGCGAAGTTTCTTTTTTTCGTTTATAGGGCTCAGTGAACAGTGTACAAACTCGCATACATTTGTGCACAACAAACGAATTAAAGTTGAAATAGATTGTCACAGTGTTGAGATATTTATTTATAGAATACCGCGAACACCATCCATGTTTTACCTTTGTAATTCTGCTCTGACGGTGACCATATAATGCATTCAGTGCACCCACGAATCGGGTTAGGAATTTGAGTCTTCAAAGCAACACATGCCATATCGTAGCGCCGCATTAACTGGAGCTTTGGGTATCAGCTCGGACTTGGTTCACAATACGTCATTATTGTATCCCAGTTGCTTAGGATCAATTTTCTTCATCGCTCAACCAAACTGTCTGGTCCTCATTTGATTATTTTGCCTAATCACATCATAGCTCGGAAATGTTTGAGCGGTGTTATACAACATAACGACATAAAACCCTACCGCATACTTAGTTGCAGGAAAGTCTGTATAACTATTGACAAATTGATCACAATAAATCTTAAAATCACCCTTAGCTAATATTCAAGCATCAGTCAAGGTCTCACACATATGAAATTTTGAGTTGTCTCATTTTACCAAAATGGCTAATTTGATGAGTATGGTAAAAATGGTCAATCCCCGATTCTGAATCACCATGCTACAGCTGCTAGGTAAAGGATAATAGGGTCGGACAACTGGTCCGCGCGAGGTGATCACGATCTGTCTATCGAGAACAATAGAAATGATGCAACCAGTCCTATGCCCGTGGTCGTTCATTTTCACACCGTATGGGAGCTGGAAGTCCTCAAAAAAGGATGCTAGACAGGGCACAGATTCGGGCGATGGTGAAACCAGGAATGGCTTAATTTGATGCCAAAATCCCCAAACCGCGTCTCACCGACACAAGGACACCTTTTGAGTTTCTTTTTCATCCGGATGGTTGAATACTTTAAAGGCACAACAGCATTATTGTTTAAGCCCTGGCCATTATTCAATATGCATCAAACACTTCTACTGCCCCTGAACATAACCTACGGCGAATTTTCATTAGATGTTAATGCCGGCATAATACATGGTGAAACGATTTACGGCCTGGACACGGAAAACCCTGCACCGATATTTTGTTCACATTGCATGGGCGGTGGGTGAAGCCTAGTGGCTCGTCACGCCGATGACCCTGGTTCGAACTACATGGGTACAATGTGTGAAGCCCATTTCTGTGTCCCCACGATGTTGCTGAATATTGCTAAAAGCTGCTTGTTCAAACTCAGTCAGTCAGTCGCCACGTACAATGGTATTAAATGAATAATAGTTCCATAAACCATATCCCGCAACAACAAAAAATCTTCCTGTTCACAATTTGTATAATCAATAAAAATCATCCTTCAAACCGCGACACCCATCGCTAGTTGGTCTATCGACTTGAGATAAATTTAATTTCTAAATTTAATTGTTAAGTAGATAACGTTTTCCATGTTCAAGTAATCACAAATGCAAAATATTCGGAAAACAATGAGACAAAATACAGAAACTCCATTCACTACTCCAAGAAATGAGTGAAAGGAAGGAAATGCCTAGCAGTATCAATGTCGGCA